AATCAATGTAATGAAACAAGCTATATGAATGGTTGAATGTGAAGTTGATGATGTGCCCTGTAAACTTTCACTCAATGCAAAATAAAAACATTTAATTAAAAAAAAAAAAAAAAAGTGTGGGAATCCTTAAGGGTTAATTCCCCAGAGTGACGGTCAATGATCTGAGGCAACTGATCCAATCATGTATTAATTTGAGTGGATAAACACAATCCATCAGACATTTACTGAGCCATATACTCTGTTATGGTGGATGTGTTAAGTATAGAAATCCAGCCATGACAGAAACAAACAAACAGCAACAATGACTATCCACAAAACAGATTGACCAAGTTGTGAAATTGATTGAAATGAAGAAAATGTAGAGAATAAGACTAATGTGGGCTAAAATAACTGGGGAAGATCTTGGTAGACAAAAAGAAGTTGGAGTCTTGAATAAGTCTGTTCAAAAACAAAGAGGTATTCTGAGTGAGAGCAAGAGCTTACAAATGCACGACCAGCAAGAATAAAAGCTAACACTTACTGAACACTTACTAGGTGCCAGGCAATGTGCTGAACCTTTTACATGTGTTAATTTCATTCACTCTTCAAAATAATCCTGAGGTAGGTATGATCTCTATTTTATAGGTGAGCAACCTGAAGCACAAAGAGGTAGTATAATTTGCTCAATAATTTGCTCACAGAGTAAGTGGAAGAGCTGGGATATGACCACCAAATTATACTCAAAAGGAACACAGTGGGTATCAAAGACGAAGTGCTTAAATGGAAAGCCTAGCCTAGCTGAAGCTGGGGATAAATGCTAAGAAGCTGTGGAGAGGAGAGATAATAGCCATACTTATTTGCTCATATTTTAAACTAAAAACAATATGGTGGTAGTAGTTATGTGCCATGGAGTCGGTTCCAACTCATAGCTACCCTATACAGGGTTTCCAAGGCTATAAATCTTTACAGGAGCAGAAAGCCTCATCTTGCTCCCATGGAACAACTGGTAGTTTTGAACTGCTGGCCTTGAGGTTCACAGCCCGATTTGTAACCACTACCGTAGCAAATATACTATAAATATAACTTATAAACAATATAAGTAAATACACCGTAGATAATGAGAACCAGGTTTCTTAGCTGTCAGAGAAAAAAAGGAACAAAGAGGGTAAGAAAAGGAGTCTAGAGTGAACTATGTGGTCTTAGATTAGAATCAGAAATATCAGTCTGAATTCTTGGGTTCTTTAATGGATAGATAGATAGACGAATAGAGATATATGGTGGTGGGGGTTGTATGCTGATGAGCTGGTTCTAACTCATAGTGACCCTACATAGGGTTTCTAAGGCTGTATATCTTTATGGGAGCAGAAGACCTCATCTTTCTCCCTCATGAATCGCCCTCAGTAGATTCACACTGCTGATCTTGCAGTTAGCAGCCCACTCATAACCCACTACACTACCAGGGCTCCTTATATAGACATGTTGCTGTTGTTGTTAAGTGCTGTTGGGTTGGTTCTATCTCATAGTAACCCAGAATAGGGTTTCCAAGGAGCGACTGGTGAGCTTGAACCGCCGACCTTGTGGTTCAAACAATCTTGAGGACCAGTGCTTATCCTACAGAGACACACCAAGACTCCATATAGACGCGGTGTTGTTATTAAGTGCTGTCAAGTCAATTCTGACTCATAACAACTCTATATAGGGTTTTTGAGGAGCAGCTGATGGCTTTGAACTGCCAATCTTGTGGTTCGCAGTTCAGTGTTGATCCTAAAGCACCACACCAGGATTCCATATTGACACATAGGTATGGGTTAATATAAATAGATACATTTCTAGATTTGTCTGTGCTGAGAGCCTTAAAGTGACAGCTACCCCAGTAGTAATAAGCACATCTGATACCTACTATTCTTCAGTCAAAGTACCCAAGGCTCCTTGGAGAAGTGATTGATTCCAGAGCTTGGACAAGGAAAATACAGATGGGCCTGGAACATTGTACAGTGCTAGAAAGTTATGAGGTGTTCAAAAAAGGATCAGGAGCTAAGCTGAAAGGGCATATCAAAAGCCAACCTGAAAGAGCTCCCAATGTCTATTCCTAGAAAAAATTAAGCCAACGTAAACAGTGATAGCATTACATTATAACCCACAAAATAAAATAAGTATTTATGAGAGAATTGTACTATAATTATGGAAGATTTTAACGTTAGTGGAAGATGGATGTAAGGTATATGAGAACTCTATTATTTTTATACTTTGAAGTTTTAAATTATTTCATAATTAAAAAGTTGTAAAATAATAGATGTGGAATTATTGCTTAAAGGGTACTGAGTTTCTGTTTGAGATCATGAAAAATTTTTGGAAATAGTGATGAGGTTTGTTGTTGTTGTTAGGTGCCATCATGTTGGTACCAACTCATAGCGACCCTATGCACAGCAGAACGAAACACTGCCCGATCATGGGCCAACATCACTACGGTTGCCACATTTGAGTCCATCGATGCTGCCACTTGGCCAATCCATCTTGTCAGGGGTCTTCCTCTCTTTTTCTGACCCTCCACCTTACCAAACATGATATCCTTCTCCAGTTACTGATCCCTCTTAATAATATGTCCAAAGTATGAGAGATGAAGTTTGGCCATTTTAGCCTCCAAGGAGCACTCTGGATGAACTTCCTCCAAAATGGATCCATTGTTTCTTTTGGAAGTCCGTGGCACTTTCAATATTCTCCTCCAACACCATAACTCA